CACACACACACACACACACACACACACACACACACACACACACACACTCGCTCGCACATACACACCAGGCTGACCTAATTTTGAGGTCTAGCAGCGCCAAGTTTTTTGACAAGAAAAATTTATGTATTTTAATAAAATATTTTTATTTTTTGTACTGTTACCTCTGTAATTCTTTGCGATGCGATTAAATCTTTTAAAATACATATATAAACTTTGTATTTAAATACCTTGTATTTCCTTGTTGGGTTTAAATATTTTAATAAAATATTTGTATTTTGTACTGTTACCTCTGTAATTCTTTGCGATGCGATTAAATCTTTTAAAATACATATATAAACTTTGTATTTAAATATCTTGTATTTCCTTGTTGGGTTTAAATATTTTAATAAAATATTTGTATTTTGTACTGTTACCTCTGTGTAATTCTTCATGATTCAATCTTTTATTCTAATCGAAGAAAAGCAGTGGTAATATTGTACCTCAAAAAAACCTAAGTAACAAGTGGTAGAGGTAATCTTTGTATCTCGAAAAATACACTGAGAAAAAAAATTGTTAATTCCAAGAAATATTTAGTTCGATACGTTCAACTAAACATTTTAGTTAGTTAAGTAAATATTAATTGTTTCAACAATCTATTTCGTTTCTTTAATCAAGAATTAATTAATTCAACTAATGTTTAGTTAACTAACTAAAATGTTTAGCTAAACGTATCGGACTAAATATTTCTTGGGATTGACACATTTTTTTTCTCAGTGTATGTTCTCTGTAATTGGCGCTGTAATTTAAAAAGAGATATCATTTTTTTTTTGTAATTGTAAAATAATAGATCACTTGAAGCGCGACTCATTTTTGATAAGGTAACGTAATTTTGTGATGTGTATCACTTGAGTAATAATTTTTTGGAAATAAAAATACTACTGTTTAGGTTTTTTCGAGATTTTTCAAGATACAAAGATTACGTCTACCACTTGTTACTTAGATTTTTTTGAGGTATAATACTACCACGTCTACCACTGTTTTTTTTTCGAGGTAACAACATATTTGGAAATAAAAATACTACTGTTTAGTTTTTTCGAGATTTTTCGAGATACAAAGATTACGTCTACCACTTGTTACTTCGGTTTTTTCGAGGTAAAAATACTACTGCTTAGGTTTTTTCGAGATTTTTCGAGATACATACAAAGATTACGTCTACCACTTGTTACTTCGGTTTTTTCGAGGTAAAGATACTACTGCTTAGGTTTTTTCGATTGAATATACGGAGCCGACCGTCGAATACACTTAGCCCTCGCATTAGCAGTACGTCCTCGGTACGAAACACACGGGTTTGAAGATACGCTCGTTAAAACATAGGACCTGTTATCGTGACCACTTATGTAAGTTCATTATCGCTTAATTACAACACCACCCATACAACTAACTATTTCCATCTGAAATATAGTTGCCACTAAGATTGGCCGCGTGAATAAAAGCTTGACCGAATCTACTCCCATGTAACATGACGAACAACGACAAACATAGACGCCGAACATACCCGTTGCATGTATGCATCCCAATCCTAAAGAGGACCACCGATAAGATGCAATTCATACCTACGGAGGACTGCGGATGCGAGGAAAGCAACGGACATGAATATATAAACTGCGAGAATGTAATCGGTAACTTTTAATGTGTGCCTGTTGACAGCGTTAATTTGAGCACGACATTGACCTTGCTTACGCGTCGCATCACCGACGATGACTATCAAATTCAACGTTATTGTATATAATCTCTTATGTGAGCTCCAATAGATATTAATTTATTATGTAGATGTAACGATAGTTGCCCTCAGGAAGACCAAGTAGGTCGAATCGTTGGCTAAAAATAAAAACAGATTACACGCGAATGTAAAAATTTTTTATTAACACCTGAATATCGCTTGTAATACAGGTCGATTCATTTTTCCAGACTTTACCTTCTGCATAGCCTCGTTCATTGTTTCTTGAAACCATGACTCATTTTGATTTTCGATTGTACGTGCAAACTATCTAGGAATCGAACACAAAATTTTTGTTGTAATAGCTATAAAGTGTCGAAAAATTTTATGATCCGAATCACCCCGAAAAAGATGATCCGATTAACCCCATATATTGCATGTAACACCAGCAATAGCAACAGTCTTCATATGGATAATGGAATATATCAGAAAACAGGCGTATTTGACAAATAATTAGTAAAATCGCTTTACATTTTACATAACAACAAAATGCGATCTTACGAGTTAGATATTAACTTCTGATAAGGATACGTCAGGACCGAGAAGGGAGATCAATCGCGGTAACAGAGACAGATCACTAATTAACTTCACTGCGGATAGATATATTTATTGCGTACGTTACAAAGCTCGCGTGTATCGCCGGTCGTGATTACACAGGACAATGCAGAGCGGAAGTTGCGATGAGCGCAACCGTCGCCTTTTCGTCGATATACATTCATCGCGAGATATCGATCAAACTCTCGATAATCATGGTCGACACGACGCCGGATGGCGCCACTCGGACTGAGTCGCGTTCGAAAACTTTACTCGGATGCACACCGCGTCGTTCTATCTTTGTTATTCATTAAAACTTGAACAAGGACAGAACGACGTTGGTGTGTACCCGAGTGAAGTTTTCGAACGCAGCCCTGAGTGGGCGCATGCCCGCGGGAACTTAACTTCCCAACAACTTCTTTATGAATATATAATTTACTAATTATTTTAATAATTACTTACTAGTAAATCTAATATCGCCATGTATCTGCTACCTTTT